TTTTAGTTTAAGAAGGGCAAAATGGGATGGTGGCTTTTAAAGCTAACGGTTACATCTTTCTCCATTTAACGGTAATCGGTTACCTCAAAATGACATCGAAGATAGGAAATTACGACTATCGTTATGACTAACGGTTAAAAATTGTCAATGTTTAAGGCCTAGGCTGGGCCTTAAGGGCCTGGGCCTTAAGGCTCAGGCTGTTTAACGGCTTTTAGCGCTTAACGCCATTGAAAAGTTTGTTTAATAGTGCTTTAGTTTCAACCTACATCATATGCAATTTCTCTGTTATAGAGAAGAGACCAAATGGATGGGTGTGTTTTGAAATTCAGCGTCCACCGTGCAATGAAGGTAATCTAAAAGTATACATAAATATCCCTGATCTTGTATGTTGGTCTCCCGCACGAGGTACCAGTGAAAATTCCAGCCTTCTCTGCCATCGGTTTTCTTCTGAGAACAACCGTTGCGCGCCGCAAGCCCTTTTGACTTCTCCAGAAATTTGTTGCCAATTTGTCGCATCTTCTAGTTTTACCATCAAATGCGTGTGCTGCGGCAAACAAAAAAAAATGAATCCCAGCTTGTCTAAATTGTTTATTTTGCCTTCAAATCGTTTCATTTTTTTCTGTTCGGACAATTGATTTTGGATTATCTATAGAGCGCGTGTGGGACAAAAAAAAGTGGCTATTAATTAAAATGAAATAGTTCTGTGATCCAGGGAAAATGAAACACCTGAATTGTCAATTCCACCTTAAATGCACCTCAAGAACAAGTATCGCCTCACTAAGGTTTTCCACGGGAAATTCAAAATTTAATTCCTCCGTTAAAATTAATCCAGCAAAAGAAAATGCCACTTACAGTTTAAACCCATGCGGTACTCATCTGTAATGACGTCTCCTGCTTTTGCATTGAACGGATACAATCCTGTCGACGTGTTGGAGATATACAGTCCACCGTACCTGAAATTGAGGCCGAATTTTTCATTCGTTTGCTATGTTTCACTCGAAAAGTTTTCCCCTGACACATCATAATTGCAAGGCAGTGTAGATAAAAAATAAGACGTGACGTTCGAGTCCTTATATTATTTCTTACTTTTTTTGTTTGAATTTTGTTGTTTTCGTTTTAACTTTTTTTTGTTTTTTTGTTTTTACAAAAACGATAAAAAAATGTTTGAAATTTTCAAGCAAGCTTAATGAAACAGTCAAGCTATTTTTTCCCCCTTGGTCGTGAAGTCGTAAATTGCTTCTTTATGTATATTATCTTTGTTTAGTATTCGGATAAATTATTCATAATCTTTACCATTCATCGCCAAAAATGCTCCAGCATGACGATCTTCCGCGAAATTCTTGGGTATACTTTATCATTGTCCAGTATCCTTTAATGAGAGTCAAGGCCCCAGACGGTGGTGCAGATCCACAGCCAGATGACGTCACACGTCCTGAAATGGTGAGCCCATTATTTTCTTCATCGTAGTTCAATGTAACTCCTCCCGTGAGCGTGCTGTCAATCCATGACTTAGTGATTCTTTTCCATCCTAAGTATTTGATTTTCAGACAATGATGAAAATATCATCCTTTAAATTAAAGTGCGGTTTGACAAAAGGCGAGAACCCGATGGAACACTCGTTGGGAAAGCAAATGTTTCGCTCTTTGATGCCGCTCATCAGTCATGTAACTGATGAAGGCCTGCGAGAATTTAATTTCCAATGTTATGTTTTTGGGTGTCCTAGAATCAGACAGTGAAACTGAATAAAGAAAAAGGAATTTAGCTCATATGTTGATCTACCGTGAATCTATCAAAAAGAGACGATGTCTGCACTTGGATAGTTCCTTATCTTTTAACACATACATTACAATCGAGGAATGAAACTGAATCTCTTCGGCATTAGCCAATTTTGAAAAGATTCGGTTTGGTAATTGAACCAGTAGCTAACCAAAGGACTGCTGAGATTAGTCTGTTAGTGATTCAGTTGTTCAACAAGTATTTCTTATCCTAATGAAGTCTATTATCATATCACCACGTGCAAAAGACTCTCTACTTACTCAGATCAGGGAGTTTCTCAGCGTAGACAAACATTTTCCTTTGCTGAAAGTTTTCAGGTCGACTTCTGCTCATCTCTGTGCTAAGCTCGCAGACATTTTCAGCAGCGTTGTAATTCAAACTTTGGCAGACCGGATTTTTTTGGCAGGTGATATAACAAAGATGAAGACTTTCTGAAGGGAACGATTTAAACACAGATCCTACCAAGATAAATCCATATTTCGAACTTGTAGATACACATTGCCGCGTGGTCATCAAAAATTGAACTTGTAACGCCAGGATTGATTGAAATAACACAATTCGTAAATTAGTCATTTCTCCTGTTTGCTCAGTAGAAGAAGATCGCACGATTTTCTTAAACAACTTTATTGACACGGTTGCTACAGCTGCTTTAAAAAATAATAAAGTCGCTTTGGGAAACTTAAACGAGTTTGTTATTTTCAATGTCATCAAATATTTATATCTATTCATAGTGTCTATTTTTCCTGCAACTTTGAAAAACACGTTAAACGCTTTTTGTTATAAATTCATCTACAATTTCTAGGACATTGAGAACTGATTGTAATATGAGCTAAATCCTAAACTTTTTCTTAAATTGTGTGGGTAAAAAGAAGACCTTCTGTGAAAACAGAAAAGATGCGCTGATGACGCGAATCATCTTTATTGTAATAGAAACTTGCGAATACTCGAGAATATCAGCCTGCTGCGCGGTAAATCTGAGCGGAAATACTTGATGTATTGTAGTAAAAGTTACCATAGGTCGTATCCTTTTTCATCGTTGCTGTGTATTTTTTTCGCTCGAATGAAGCTTCTCAGATCCGCTTATTGTTTTTATCTTGTTTTTGTTGTTGATGTTCGCCTTAAAATGATAAGATTTTAAAACGTTTGACGAAAGGCACTTCCTGCAACGGATGTTTTCAAAAGCGAGAATGGGGAGCGGGGAAAGGGAAAATAAAATGGGAAATTGAAAAGGAGAAATTAATTTCCTTTTTTTATTTTTGTGCAATATTTTTTTTTTGTTTGATATGCGGAAAAGAAAATTTTCAGCGGCGATTACCAATATCCACTTACTTTCAAAAACGTTCATAGGCAAAATTTGAGGAACGGAATAAATTGATGATAAAGAAAGAAGTGATACATGACACCTAAAGAATGTTGTAAAACTAAATCTTATTCATTTCATCAGTAAACAAGTGATAAGGTAAATTAAATATGCTGAGATTAATGAAAGGGCCATTTGAATGCTTATTTTAATATTAACGAACTAGAAGTTTCAAAGAAGTTAACCGAATAATGCTTGAATTGTTCAGAGTCCAAGTCACTATTCAACTCCGATCGACAAACGAACCCATAATTTTTTTTGATAGTGATAGAGGTTCGCTTAAGAGATAAATTTCGGCGAGAGAAAGCACTTTTCTCACTTTCAGCTGCTGAGAAATCGAAAAATTATATTAAAGAATAATTTTACTTTGACGACCAAAAGACGCGCCGAGCAGATAACGAATCTAACAGGTTTCAGATTAAAATTTGCACGAATATTGGATGCGAGTTTGCAGCCAACTCTTCAACTTCCAAAGGGTTTCCCGCAAACATGAGTAATCTCGCCCTTGAAGTATGAACAAACGTGTATATTTCTGTGCCAAAGGGGGGCTATTTTGTTTATTATCCTTCAAATAATTTGCAACATTACATAAAAAATGTTTACGAACAGTTAACCATTCATTGCGCGGAATGTTCTCTTTTCAGTGTTCACTAGTACGATTTTATGTATAAACAAACATTTCCCCTCTTTTTTTAACAACCAAAAAACGCTCTCTCACCTTAAATTAATTTTAAACGAGGACTTATCGTAATGTACGTAGGGCTTGAAAATTAAGGAATATCACTTGGGGTATATCCCCAATTATGATCCATCAAATATTTTTGCTAGCTCATGACTGATCTAAATGCTTCAAAACAGAAACGAATATTACCTACCTAAAACTGGGGGATATCCAAGGATATCACCCAAGTAATACTCCCCAACTTTCAAACCTTAAGTCCACTGCGATAAGTCTTCGTTTAAAATTCAATTCAAGACGAAAGAGCGTCTTTTGTTTGTTAGACGAAAGGAAATATTTGTTTTTCATAAAGTCGTTCCAGAGAACACTCGAAAAAGAACATTCCACGCAGAAAAAAAACAATTTTCCATTTTCAATTTCCCATTTCATATTCCCATTCCCAATTCCCCATGTCCCACTCTCCATTCTACCTTTCCATTCCCCACTCCCAGTCCCATTCCCCAGTCCCATTCCCCAGTCCCATTCCCCAGTCCCATTCCCCAGTCCCATTCCCCAGTCCCATTCCTCACTCCCCATTCTCGCTTTTAGTAACATCGTTCTTTGTAAAGGGCACGTGATATGAATGAAAACGAAAGGAATTGCTAATCTTAATGATTTATAGTTACTGTTGAGAGGGGCAATTGAAACTGACCAATTCATCTTCTCTGTATACAGTTTATGTACCAAGAGTGGATATTCTACCGGTCTATCTACAAAGTTTCCTATTCTCATCCCAAAATAATACGCTGAGTTGGAAAAAAAAATGCAGTGCAGGGGATTTTTCCCGACTCGCCTACCATTACGGAACAGCAAGCCGTAATAGTGGATAGTGACGCAAATTTGAAAGCGAAAACAGCATATTAAATTAGTGGGTTTTCAGGGGATTTCCTGAATCGCCTACCAGTACGTCAAATCTGTTTATATGAGTCAGTTTACTTTCATTCGTTCCAGTAACCTCTCCTTTACACAGAATTTACAACAAGTCTGTCTTGAAATGACTATTTCTCTGGTTGATTTTTCGTAGGAATCTATATCTGTAATACCTTTACATACAACCTTTGATGAATTGACTTTTCTTGCTTTATTTGATTCTTACAAATCTCTTATACGACGCTTTTCGTCGCGGATAACAGATTGTTCGTGAATGACTAGTAAGCTTAAAAAAGTAACAAACATCCATATTTATTCGGGTGACCAGCTGGAGTGATGTGAAACTGAACGATATGAAATAGATATTAATATAATTTTAATGTTATGAAAAAATGAGTATTAATGGAATATTTCAATAGAACATCGAGCCGTAATAGTTGATTTTGCAATCATCTGACGTGTCCTTGTGACACAAATTTAAAAGCGAAAACAGCATATAAAATCAACCAGTACGTCAAATCTGGTTATATGAGTCAGCTTTACTTTCAGTCGTTCCAGTAATCGCTCCTTTACACAGAATTTGCAACTAATTTTTTTTCCTCGTTAATTTCTGTTAGCTTTTTACTTATTTACATGGTAAGGAAGACTTGAAAGTCCTGTCATGATACTCATTGTCTGCAGTCAAAGCCTTGCATGCGAGCGTGATTGAATCGCTACTCCGTGACGCTCTGTTTGGGCCAAGATATACTCACATGCATGCCTCCGTTAGACTATTTCTCTGATTAATTTTCGTAGGAATTTATATTTGTAATACCTGTACATACAACCTTTGATGAATTTACTTTTGTTGCTTTATTTGATTCTTTCAAATCTCTTATACGACACTTTTCGTCGCGGACAACAAATCGTTCGTGAATGACTAGTAAGCTAAAAAAAGTAACAAACATCCATATTTATTCGGGTGACCAGCTGAAGTGATGTGAAACTGAACGATATGAAATAGATATTAATATAATTTTAATGTTATGAACAGATGAGTATTAATGGAATATTTCAATAGAACATCGGGCCGCAATAGATGATTGTGCAATCATCTGACGTGCCCTTGTGACACAAATTTAAAAGCGAAGCTTTTTCAGCTTTACTTTCAGTCGTTCCAGTAATCTCTCCTTTACACAGAATTTGCAACAAGTCTGTCTTGAAAGCCCGCATTTGGTTCAAGGGGTCCAGTCTTAATTACTACACTTGGGAAAGCTCCATTAAATAAACTACCAGGAAGCGACATATTCTCAATAGGAATTGTCAACATTCGGTAAGACCGAATACATTGTTTTCGTATGTTAGTCTACGAATTGAATGTGTAATTTTCCTTCCTCGTTAATTTCTATTAGCTTTTAAACTTTTTAAAGGAATAATGCAGACTATTTTCACCTTGCGGTGACAACGTGACCTCTTTCATGTCACAGAGATACATTTGAAGATGACAAATTAGTATATCATCAAAGATTTTAATCACTTATTTCTTTAACCGTATTGAAATATATTTCGCCAAATAGTAATTGTAGGAGATACTATTTTGCGATTGAAATGGACTATTAGTCGATTTCGCAAAATAGTAACTCTTCTAAATTGCTACTTTGCGAGATGAATAAAAATCCTTCTTGTTAATTAATGATTACTCCAATATTAATGTGAAAGTTATCTTTACCTTATACAAAATGTATCTGCATTATTCCTTTAGTTTTTTTATACCTCGTCTGGTTTTGTTTGGTTAGTTTCGTTTCATTTTGTAAAATAGTATAAACCTTTCCTCTCCTTATTCGAGGACCAGCTGAGGTGATGTGGAACCGAATGATCTGAAATAGATACTGATACAACTTTTAATCTTATGAACAGATTAGTATTAATTGATATTCAAATAGAACATCAAGCTGCCATAGTTTAGTGTGAAATCTTTCCACGTACCCTTGTGTGACACAAATTTGAAAGCAAAAACAGCATATGAAATTAGGGGGTTTCCCGACTTCTAGTCGTGCTGACACAATGAGACAAAATAAGAAGGACTTCTGACCCGCCTGCAAAGTAGACAGATACTTATTATATACATTGACTTTTAATTAAAACTACGAAGCGGACCCAATATGCCTTATTTTAAACACTAAGGTCAGAGAGAAAAAGAAACATATTTATGATTTTTGAAGCATCTACTGTTTTCTAATGACTTCGTGACAGACGTGAAGAGAAATGGTTTAAGTTCTAATTAATACTAAATACCATGTACGAATAGAGCATGTTTGAGTACTAGTAGGTTTTATGACAAGGTCTGCAGCGACTGTCGTTGTTTTCTATTCTCTAGGATATGCGAGATCCTGATATCAAATCATAAATATATATTCCCTACTTTTCCTTCTGACGCTTCGAAAAATACAAACACATAAACATAGCGCTGACCATATTTGCACGCTTTAGCATTTTATGATTTAAAATATCAGATCATGAACGAAAAATACTTCACTATGACGATTCGAAAATTCGAAGGCAAACATAGGATATTGAATAACAGAGTTAATCCTACGTTCTTTGTGTGGGGCTCATGATTATAAAACGAAAGGACTTCCGACTCTTCTGCAAATGTTGTACTATTGCAGCAACAACCTCCATCTAAATGGACCCACTAATTGTTCCCTCTAGATAGTTTATGTAGCTAGAAAACAGATTCTACCCTTCCTTGGCGAAATGTGTTAATATTAATCGAAATCAGGAGCCCATTACTTGAATGTAAGTAATGGACTCCTGTCGAAATACAATCGACTTTCTCGCCCTGCGGACACCTTGCTATTACGAACACCCGACCATTGCGTACAAAAGCAATCCCCACGGCGAAACGCATAGAGGAATGACTGAAATAAACTCCCGTTTTTAAGGACTCTCGCTCTTACGGAAATCCGGACACCTTCATCATGCCCTCGTGTCCGCAATAACGGAAGTCGACTGTTCCATAGGCGTGAAATAACAGTGTGGTGCGGGGGATTCCCCGTCTTACCTTTCAATAGGTCACATCTGCCTATCTAAGTCCATTTAGCTCTTAGTTGTACCCAATTGTCTCACAGAATGCCAAACAATTTTGCTTTCAAACACCTCATTTAATTACTTCACAATTTATTGCTTCACTAGGAAAGTTACAATCGTGCGAGCTGGTACAGAATAACAGTTCTTCAACAGGAATTGTGAGGACGGCATTGGAACTTTCAACATAAGGTAATTCCCTTTTAATTATAGCTTTAAATTACCCGTTATTCAGCTATCATTCCACAAAGGATGATGGGAAAGAACTTTTAAAAAAAAGCTGTGGCAAGTGGAACAAAACAAGCAAATGCAAGGAAACGTTGCGCGAAAGGAAAAATTACAATCATAAGAGTAACAAGCCCATACAACAGTTTTCGATGATTCTGTCAGTTTTGTGAAACGCCCTTCTTCGATCACGTGTGACGAGCTAGCCGGTTAACTAATTCACGTATTTATTATGTGGTTTAGGTAATATACAACAAGCACATGATCAAAATCGCGCATTAAATTGAAATTAATATATTAAAATTGTATTCTAATGACGTCGTGATATTCGAGAAATGGTTTGAAGTTCCAGTTAATACTATCATTGTCATTAACAGACACAAAAGTGTACAGATAGGGGATAATGTTAGAGTATTAGCGTGTTTATAACAAGCTCTAAAGGGAAAATACAACGACTGTCGTTAAAGTGCCTATCAGTGACACGATTTTTTTGCATAAATATTTAGCTTACCATATGTACAAACTAACTCCCATAGAAGAACAATATCCAATATTTGGGCCCTAAGGTGCCCTTATTTTCTCTCAAATGTGTCCCATGGACTGGGAACAAGTTAGAGGATGATAACGTAGAAAACTGTGAAAACTCTTATTTGACACAAATCTTTCGACATTGAAGAGTAAAATCTCTTCAATGTCAACAATCGAAACGCGTCCACTTTGGCCATACGGCTACATCCTTTGGAAAGAAGTGTATAGGAATACCCGGTGTATATGTCCTATTCGAAAAGCTAACACCATTTGGCGATTCGTGAAATACGTTCGTCCTTTCTTCTACATTTCTCCTTTCTCCACCTTAGTTGCCGATACGTATTCACAGTTTTTATGTCACAGCTATGTAACATGATCGTTTTGGCCGCGCGCTCGATGGGAACACTTTTTGGCCGCTCAATCGTACTTTCAATGCTTAAAAAAATGGTCAAGGAGAACTCGATAGGCGCTAAGGCCGATTATTTCCAATTTTATATACAGCTTTTAACCAGAAAATGCTAAAAAAAAAAAACATCCGTTTCATAGGCGCTTAAAGTCCATACATACTTAATGTCGTTAAGCCCATACAATATAGTGTGCGATGATTCTGTCAGTTTTGTGTCATCCCCTTCCTTTTGCAATCATCTGTGATGAGCTAGAAAAAGAGCTCCTCTACACTTATGGCCTAGAAATTTGTCAAGGATTTCCCGTTAAAGTGATTCCTTTAATACACATCAGGCATTCCTAACAATCCTCATTTTCGGAATTCCATCGAGACACAAATGATAATGTTAGCTATGCGGAGTTTAAAGTTCTAGTCGGATAAAGCACTATTACGTAGCTCGCAG